AACCTCCAAATACTTATGAATACAACAAGAGTAGAGCTGTGATTGGATATCTTGTTTCTACACATTTTATTTCTTTCTATTACTGCATTTAACACACCAGAAGTGTTTATGTTTTAACATAAACTGTTAACATACAGGAAAAAGGTTTAAAATAAGACTTTTTTATTTCAGTATTTAATTCCAACAGGACTAAGTCCTGCAGCCCAAAGTAAACAAAGTCAAAGGATACATCTACTTCAGTACTAGTCTGCAAATTTTTATTTTATATTAATATCAGTACATTCTGTCAGCAAATGGAACATAAGAATTACTTGAATTCCTATTTTAAAACTATGATGCTACTGCACTCATCTAAAGCCACTAGCAGGTAGGTTTTTAAAGCAGGAAAAGCAAAATTAGTGGTTATCTAAGAATGATAACTATAAGCATTTTAAGCAAGTGTTTGTTGTATGCTGAAGCTCTGAGCTCATGGCAGCCTAGAATTTAATACACACATATTTAGAGTACGCCATGCATCCACGTGATTACTTCACAGCTTAGAAAAAGTCCACTACTATTTTGAGAAACAGCATGGAACTGCACAAAAAATTAAGGACCGTACTTGCAGTGCATTTAGTAACTCTAATCAGTGATCCACAAAATACCAGAGAACACTATTCATCATGTTTAAAAATGCATTGCAGCAACAAAAAAAAAATAGCGTTATGCTATTTGTCAGATTACTCTATTTAATAACAACCTTAGCTAATAACATCTACAGACTGATGTTCCAGTATCAAGTAACAACCTCTTAGGCAAAAACTTAACAGATAATCTCAATAGATAATTATCTTGATAGTCTTTCTTGTACTACATATTACGCAATAGCAAAGGGAATTAACCTGTAACTCTAGGAAGCCCAGTGGCTGAACAAAGCAGGGAAAGATCTTGCACATTACTCTCGTGCCCTGTTCACCTAGCTGCAGTATTCTCTGAGCATCATTCAGTAAACACCTGTTTGCAAGCACTAAACAACTCAGTGGACTTCTGTTCAGATTCTGTTTGCTAAATTTGACTTCCCAACTTGTTCAGTCAGTGAATGTGGGATTGTGAAAGACAAACTACGTCATACTTTACAACAAAAATAAAGCATGAGAAAGAAAGCAGAGGAAAGCTGTTATGTTACACTACCTGTAACTATTTGTTCTTTGATTTTAGTACATCGAGAAATATAACAAAGGCAACATCAGCATTAGAAAGAACAAGGTCCTTTCGCCAAAAAAATGCCAATAACTTACTCTGATTTCCTGTTCTTCTCATGAAGAAGTTTGTGTGATATCTATCAAGAAGCATCTTCGACTTGTTCAATGCAGGAGATTAAAATGGATTAATTAGTGAAGGGATGAAAAAACTCATTAGTTAGCTGAGAGAACATACACTGCCTTTGATTAAATGGCAGCACTACAAAGCATACGTACTTATTCTGACAGGTGTACTTTGAATAGCTCATGCTTGAACTTGTTGAGAAAGTATCTGCACAACATTCAGTTAATTAGTGGCACAGACATTTCAGGAAGCTCATGGCAGAATCTACTTTTTATATTATGGCCAATTGTGAGCAACTCAAAAAAGTAAAAAAGTGGATACAACTTGATTTTCAGTAAAAGTTTCTGTAAAGCGTACTTATCAGTAAAGAAATGCTTACCTCTTTTACCAGCTGTGTTGGTTATAATATTGTATTATTTGCTATTTGGGATTTATTTGTCAAATATAAGTTTCAGGTCTACTTTCTTCTCAAGCACTGGAAGCCACAGAAGTGTTTTTCCCTCCTAATAGCACCACTTATTTCCAAATTGATCCTACTGATAATTCCCTGCCTCCCTGGATAAGATTTCATTGACCAGGGCAAAAAATTAACTCCTAATAACAAAAGAATTCTTCAAGACTGTCTAGCATTTACTAGGGTGAGCAGTGTCCTTATGTGACCCAATGACTTCTGTTTTACTTGGTATAAACGAACACTAAATTGAATCTTCTCCGCAGATACAATTCTCTCTTCTCAGAAGAAAGGGAATTAAGAATTGCAAGGAAAGGGAGTGAGAACCACTTCACACAGAATGTGAATACTCATTCCCCCATTATTAAGGAATCATTGGTCACACAAGCAATGAAACAGTTGGGAAAGTATCAGGCAGTGAGTAGTAAGAAAGCAATAATTAGCTTACTAAATACTTATATAGCCTGGACAAAAATCCCTAAATACAGTCCAAATACTGAACAATTACCTGCTCTAGTACACATCCTCCAAATAAAAAAAACATGCAATACATGCAGTTCAAAAAACAGCAATCTGCACTTCTGCAAGCACTTATAAACAACCTAATACATATCTTACTGTTCTGACAGCAAAGACTGAACATTGATGTGTCCTAGTGTTATATTTACGGTGACCTCAAATAAGCCTGTAGACAAGAACCAAAACCCTTTTCCTGTCATTTGATTAGTCATTCCTCAGACTGGCCTAAAACAAATGTTATTTTTTTTTTACTCCTTAATACTGGAATGCAAAGGCAAAAATATGGCTGCACACTCATCCTTTAGCAGATGCTGGTTCATATCTCAGTTTAATCTTTGAAACCAGTCAAGACAGACAGCTATAAGTGATAATTACTCGGATCTTTAGGAAAGGGGAAAAAAAAAAAAAAAAAAAAGAAAAAAACAATGAACAGTAATCCTTCATTCATCCCCAAAGGGCAGAACTGAAGCTCTAGAAGACCTGCTTTGTCTCCAGCCACTGCTAGCAACTTATTAATATTTAAAAGATGGATGAGAACAAGACCTGCAGAGTTCTGTTTACTTGTAACTCAGTACTCTCAACAGTGAAACTATTAATGAATCTCAGACTTAACAGGAATGCTGTAGCATAATAGTCATTAAGCTTCTATCACTGAAATGAATATAAAATATCCTGAAAAACACTGGACAAGTTGAAGATAAATTTCTATGATATATAATCAGATGAGCTTAACACTTGATCTTTCTCCTCAATTTGACTTGTGTCCCCACAGAAAGTTTGATCAGCTTCTACAGATTCCAACATCTTGAAGAAATGATGCTGTTCCATTTCATTTATTTACAAAAGGCATAGGACTACAATAAAGAACTTGAGAAAACTCACTGAGAAAAAAGTAGCTCGCAGTAATGTTGCCTATGTAAAAGGCTCATAGATTTCATACCATATGCTTAACATAACCACATCTATAATCACACATTTTAAGTATTTATCTTCCTTTATCCATACTTTTGCTCTATACAGATAGAAGTGCACGCAAAACCCCAGACCAATGAGTTGGTTAAAAATACACAGCTGAATCATACATACAGTCTGAATACAACTTGAAAGCCAAGTGATACTATTAATACATATAAGAATTTAGCTGAGGCTGTTTCTTTATATTAATCAACTTGACTCTTCCAGTTAGTATAAGTACAACAAGGTTTCTCCTTCATTTCTGTACCAAAATGAAGTTACCTTCATTCCTCCTTATCTGTACAATTCTACACCCACAATTTGCTTCTAAAATTCAGTATTTAATTTAGTTAAACAGTTCTGCTCAAGGATACCACTTCATTTTCCTGAAGCCTACAAACCTGCAGTCCCTGCCTCACAAGCCTTCCCAGGCCAGCGACATCTGATGAAAAACAACAAGAAGAGTTTGCATAACTAAGCAAAAGTAAAACAGAAAAAGCTGAATGTGCAAGGGTACCTGCTCAGGAAATGAAGTTTCTGCCACCACTGCTCTAAGCGCTCCCCAACACGGCCCACAGCACTACAGGCTCCTTTTTCTGAACAGTATCTCTCAGGCTTGACACGTGTCATTTGCCTATCGCTGCAGGACAGAGGCTTCGCCTTCCTCACACAGCCTCTTATCATCAGCCTATGGCTGAAAACAAGCCTTCTCCCTTCCTCCCCGCACCAAGGAAGAGACGAACAGCCCACTGTATATTTACTCAACCTACTGCTGAGTCGAGCCACGTTTTCCGCGCTGCCCGCCGTCGGCAAAGCGCTGCTGCCCGCACAGCTCCGTACCTGAGCGGACCACACGGCGCCAACCGGGCGGAGACACTCCCCGGCTGCCATTTCGCAGCCGCCCGGGGGCTGCCCCGCACGCCGGGGCCCCGCTCTTCCCACCCCTCCGCCAGCTGCCGGCCCTCACCGCACTCCCCGCCGACCCCAGCAGGGACAGCTCCGCACCAGCCTCCCACCCCCGCGAGCGGCCCCAGCTGAGCGCAGTCGCCGCCGTCCCGCCCGGCCCCAAAGGCGGCAGCCACGCAGCTCAGCCTCCCCCCGCGTGCCATGACACAGACAGGTGCAATTCCCCGGCCGGCCCCGCGGCCTGGCACAGCCCCGGCCTCTCCCCAAGCCCTCCTCCCCCAGTCCGTCGGCCTCAGCCCTCGGAGCCCCGCGGTCGAAGGGCCTCCCGCCTCCTCACAAAGACGCGCCACCCCCCCCTCCGCCCCGCACGGAGACGACCAGGCCGAGCCTGCCCGCCGCCAGCCCCGGCGCCTCCCGCAGCCACCGGGCCACCGCCACCCCTTCGTGTGTCGCCCGGCCCGCGCTCCCCTCGGCTCACCTCCTTGGGGACGAGCTGGTTCTCCTCGCTGGGCACCATGGCCGGTGGCGCGGCGCTGGGCCCGCGGCAGGCAAAGCCGAGCGTCGTCGCCGTCGTCAGCAGCAAGAGGCGGAGAGACGCCGCCGGCTCATCCTCCTTCGCCGCCACCCCAGCCGACGAAGGCTTCCACCCCCTCCACCAGCGCCAATCAATGAGAAAACGGCCGACGTCCGCGCTCTCGCGAGAGTTGGAAGGCCCGGCCTCAGCCCACAGAGGCCCGGGCGGGTCGCGGCGGTGGTGTGGGCGTGTCGGCAGGGTTCGCCGCCTCGCTGGGTGACGGTTTCACGTGGCTGTGTTCACGCAGTCTCTTACTGAGTCTTACTGGCAGTGCACAACCTCCACGGGAAACCGAAGGGCAGAGCCCGCCCCGAGCTCCCCCTGCGCTCGGAGACCTCGCAGTCCTCTCTGTCCGTTGGGGCGAGAACGGAAAATATCGTGTGCGAGGAAGCCGCCGTCTTTCCTTTCTCAGCTCTGCTCTGGGGGCGGGTGTTTATTGCTCTTCCCAGTCTTCCAGCGCACGCGAGAAAGCAGCAAAGGATTAAGCCGTGCCGGAAGGACGGGCAGCTGTGCGTTGCCCGGCTTCACACCTTGTGGCAGGGGATCGGTAACGGCTGCGAGGGGATCCTCGCGCCCCTCGTGAGGGAGAGGCCCCGACCATTGGGCGGGAGCTTCTGGCGCCGCGCGTGCCCTTTCACTCGCAGTAGTAATGGGGGCCGGGCAGGCAGGAAGAGGCTGTGCCGGCTGTGCGCTGCCTTTTAGTCAAGATTGTCGCTTCATTTTACTTTTTCTCGTATACTTTTGGGGTAATTTGCCTGTTCAATGTGCGAATTGAAAAAGGAGCCAGCTAGGCTTGTCCCCAGAAATGCAGTGTGCTTTTAGTGGTGAAGTCAAGCTGTGGATACCTGAAGCGTGTTCACTTCGGTGTAGAGTGTGTAAATTGAGGGATAGCATTCCATTTTCAAATGGAGTATTTCTGTGGCGTCAGTTAATTGTTGCACTCAGGTATCAGTTTTTCCACCTTAGGCACTCAGAAAATCAAATACTAATCCATAGAATTACAGAAATGCATATTGCTAGGAACATAATTGTTCAGTCTGCTTGACTGTGAAAAACACTTTAGTTGGCTAATGAAGAATAGCCAACCTGATGGATGGACTAACTTTGTGGAAATACTTTTCTCATTATTTTAGTGTCCCCTTGTGGAAAAGTACAGAATTGAGGATACTTTTGGGATTTGTATCCAATAAACTTTTTGAACAGTGCTTCAAAGTCATAATTTCTTTGAACAGCATTTTTATTTTCATCTTGCCAATTTGCGGTAGTAGATGCCCCACCTCATAGTTTTTATAAATAACATTCCTGGAAATCAGCACAAAAATCCCTTTGAAAATAGCATAAAACAGTTTTTCAGCATGTTCTTGAAGTGTCCTTGATTGCATGACTTTACAGGGCAAACTTTATACAGTAGAGGTCAGTAGGACCTCTGGGAGTGCCACTCCTGCCTTCTGGGTTAAAACATTTAGCGCTTTGCAGCCTCTCATCTCCTTGAGACACCTGAGCACTAATAAGATGAAATCAGGTACCAGTACAAGAACATGTGAATCCCTTGCTTTTAAGGATACGGAGTGTTAGCACAGAGTTGCATAGGCAGGGCTGCCCTTTACAAGTGGTGAAAAACATGGAATAGGTGTGTGGGGTTTTGTTTGTTTGTTTGTTTTGTAGGAAAGTTTAGAATTAATGCAATCTTTTGGAGAATAATAGTTTTGTTTTTTTTTAATTAATATTAGCTCTATTGCTGATTAGTTTTTTTAGCTTTTTTTTGGGGGGGGGGGGAAGGATTTTTGTAAGGATCTCAGTGGGTGAAAAAGTTAGAATTGCTGAAAAAAAAAAAAAAAGAAAAGAAAAGGTAGAGTTTATCAACAGCTGTCAGTATCTGGAGACGCACTGCCTTCTGGTCATCTTCTATTGTCCAGTGGTATCCAGAGGTCCATGAGATTAGCAAGCAACATGGGATGAAGAGCCAGAATAGAGACAAGCTTCCAACAGAAGGTGATAAAATCATTAGAGCACTGACTGGGTGACACCAGCAATGGTATGTGACCGTGATTGATGAGGCTGCTCTTACTTTTTTGTCTGTAAATGCCTCTTTTCTTTAAGGGACCAAAACTTCTAGAGTTTTTTTTATTTGTTTGTTTGTTTTTCTTGAAGCATTGTGATCTTACAGGGTTTTTTCTTACACTTTGAGTTTAACAATGGGTAAAGCCATGGGGCTCAGTGAGCACAGAGGAAGTATATTGATCTATTGGGATAAAGTATTAATAATCACAAATGTGTCTAAAAATGTGTACTCACAAATGTGTAGAAGTTTTTGTTTTATAAAGAAATACTATTAGATTCCGTTGCCAGCCTTTAAAACTGTACCCAAAACTGTAGCTAGTGCAGGATGTGTACATGAAACATCTTCAACTTCTGTTGAAGATACTTCTGTACATCTTCAACAAAGAAATAATCTACAGTTAATAATTAAATCTTGAGGAGCTTTTGTAATTTGATTATGTTGCAGTATCTAATCTCTTTACATGAGCTTTATTAAGAGAGATCTTCATAATTCAAGCTTCCTGAAGAGAATCCTAGCCTTTTAGACTGTTTTAACACGATAAACGTGTAACTTGTCTTTAGCACAAAAGAAAAAATTGTTATCTCTAAACAGAAATGCTAAACATGATGCTAGATTTGTGATTGTGGATGAATTACTTAGGTTATCTCTTGTCAAACTATTGTTCAGAGATGTGTTAGTGGGAGTCACAGGTGTTGAAGAGTCAGATTTCAGTTAGTGACACTTTACTAGTTTTAATGAATACAGTACTGTAGTGCAAATACTGAGTAGTGCAAATACTGCCTGAAGGAGTGATGGAGCAGCTGGTGGGAAGGTAGGGCCAACCCAGGGGAGCTCAGCTGCATGCAGTGCATCTGAGTGACTGGAAGGAATGGGGTCATGATCCACACCTTCCCAGACCTCATTTAAGGGTTGGCAGTGGAGGGCGAGGGTATCTCTTGTTGAAAATCCCTGCTTACTCTGGGCCTTCCTGAGGTAAGTAGCTTGCTTCCTTTGTTTTTGCATCTGTGGTTGCTGCATTTGGGCTCATTCTCATTTGCTCTAGACAAAGACTTTGCTACCCTGCTGTTGTAATGGTACTTTCCATTCCATTATAGCATTACAAGTACTGATCACACTAATGCATATATTGTATTAGTTGGATTATAGTTATGTTAGATGGTAGGCATTCATTATAAGTGATGATGAATTTTTAAGTTAGGCTGTGAGAACTGGCTGGTTCCCCCTTCCACAGCCTCTTTAAAGATTGCTTTAATCATCTCTCTGTAAGAAATTGCTCCTGTATCTAGCAATTAACGAGTAATGAAGAGAATTTTAAAAACTAAATGGAAGGAGTATTGTCCATTTACTCTTTGACATGCCCAGCTATGTGCCAAAAAGTCTGGGGGTGTAAAACCTTAAGAAAGTAAGTAGGAACTGATACTGTCTTTACCAAAATAGTGTTATTGTGCCCTTTTCAGGTAGAAAGTCCATGTAAAGAGGGTTGTGTAAGTTATCATTGATTTGGGGTGTTTGCTCTGAAATGCTTCGGTTTCTGTTTGAATTTCAAATAGGCTGTTTGTGAAAGATCACTTCCTGTTTTGGGGTTGATGGCCTTATCTATGGCTTTCCTCTGTACTCTGTTAAAAACAAACAATAAAGCGAACAAGCAAAGACGTGAACCAAAGTTTGTAAGCATTAGCAAGTTGCTCACGAATATCAAAATGACCTATAGGTATTTGCTGGCACTAGCGATACATCCAATGCTGATGCAGTGTTCTCTTACACCTCACCTGCAGTGTCAGCACTTCATGGGAAGCTAGCGGAAAGCCTCTCTCCCTTTCAGTCTTTCGCAAGTCTAGCGATGGAAAGATGTGTGAAAGTTCCAGATATCACAGTCTGGCTGTTTATTGCTCTGCTGACTGCTTTGTGGTTTGAGCCTTGAATAAATTTCCCGAACAAAGTTTTGAGGTATTTCTTTGGAAGTCTTGGACCATTGTTTTGCCTTCAGACTGCCCTATTCGGTGCTTTTAATTGGAGGAGAAAAATAGAAGTAAAATTGGATGTTGCTTGTATGAATGAGGGAATGGAGGAGAACAGGTAGAAGTAAAAAAAGTAAAGAAGAAATAGTTAAGATTGTTTTTGTACCTTTTAGAGGTGTTTTTACTGAATTTCCGTTTCTTTGATCCTAGCTCTCTAAATCAAAGCAAGCCAGGAGGAGGCTAAAGGGTAGAGTTTTTTGCAAAGGGCATGCTGACTGCACTTGAACCTCTTCTGTTGTTAGAATGAGGCTTTTATATTTTAGTATTTTTTTTTTAATTGTTGCTATTTTTTTTTCAATATTTTGAGACTCGAGATGGATTTAAAGTAGATATAAAGTGTCTTCAAATAATTTCATATGGTCTTTAGTCTCGCCTATCTAAGGAAACGTATAAAGAATTTTAACAAATAACATCTATTTTCTAAGATTTGAGAATGCTGTGGAAAACACAAAGTTCAAAAGGGAGAAAGAAGGGAAGATGGTTTTATGTGTCTAGGAAGTGAGTAGGCAAGTAGCTTTTTAAAGTTAAACTTCACAACATTAAGAAAAGACATTCAGTTTTAAGTTCAGTACTAAATATTATATTGTGCTGTTCTTAAACAGTGTTTTCTTCTTTAGTCTGTATAAGCATGCATCTACTTTTGTCCTCTGACACTAATTCATGCCAAGGCTTAATAAAACTAGTAGGGGATGGTTTAATTAATTATTAATCAGAATACAACGCACATTGACATTTTGTTAAAGATTATCTTCTTTTTCTGGTTTCAAGACACTGAGTTTTCAGATACTAGGTTAGGATATTAATTTTCTTTTCCATGATAGCATTAATCTTATTTGTGAATTCCCAAATGAGTTTGAAATAGCAGTTGCAAAGAGAAGTAGAAATCCGCAGAGAATTTTGCAGGACCATCGATTCCTTTATTAATGCTGGATTTTTTTTTTTATCAGCATGACCTTTCAACATGACCTATGTGCTTAAAGCTACGGAATACTTCTGAGCATTGTCGATCAGAAGCAAACACAGTTCCAGAGTATTTGACCTCTTGATGTGCTTGTGAAAACCTTCCTGGTGTTACTGGCAGTAAACCACATGCAATAGTAGGATGATTTTCCCCTTCAGACTTTGGGAACAGATGTAACCTGGAATCATGTAGCATTCGAGGGATCCAACAAATCTTGCACTGACTTAGGCTTGTGGCCAGCTCTTCTGTCTCAAATGTGCAGTAGAGAGGAAATCTGTGGTCTATTTAAATGTACGAGACAGAGATACTGAATACATCCTTTCTGGAATCTGGGCTGGTATGGTATTGAGCCTGGTATATAGCCATAGAGGAGAAGGTGTCTCTCTGCCCAGCGACATAACAAAGGCTTATGCATGAAAAGGAGAGTTGCATTGAATGCATACCACGATGGTAATGTCAGTCACTGAAATGGTTCAGTTATGTCAGAAGCTTAAAAAAAAGCTCAGTGACATAGGCAGTGTATTTTAAAACATTGAATTAACACTTGTTGCACATGAGTCACTGTGGAAGCGCAGAGGCTGCACTAAATAGTACAACGTAATATGCAAAAATAAGTAGCTTAGCTTTACGTGGAGCCTCCCTCTGTGGATGCTCAAAGTATTTATACCTGCCCTTGGGCCCAGGAGAGTTGAATAGTTCAGGTTTGATTTAGGGGTTTCTAGTGACCCCTCAGTCTAATTCTGGTGATGTTTAATATTACTGGCAAGTGCTAATTATACTAGTTACAGCTCTTTGGGCAATGCTCAGTGAGCATGCTTTTCTCATCCAGGACTGAAGATCTAGGTGGCTTCTGCCTGGTCGAAACACTTTCTTCACCCTTTGATTGCGAGGTTCTATGGCTAGCAGTGTGCAGCACTAGCTCACAGCTGTGTGGGCTGGATGTGGAAAGAAACTTTGTGTTCTGCTGAGTTCTTATAACTGGTATAGTATTGCAGGGAGTGAGATCAAGGCTCCTCGCAGGGCTCCTTCCTGTCCCATCAGAGGGGGATGTATTTCTGTGGCTCTGTGTCTTTTTGCAGAGTAAATATCAATCTCTGCAGCTGGAGCAACTTGCAGTGTGTCCCTACTGCAGCTATTATATTGTACATGCACAGCTGTTGGGAGACTTGGTCTGAAGCCTGTGGTTTGCTCTGTTCCTTCCAGCTCAGCCTTGTCCTTGTTTTACAGTAGGCTGACCCCTGAATGCCTTCAGTTTTCTGGGGCTTTAAGGCCTGTCTGTTTCTGTTGTGGGGTTGGTGAACTTTCTTGCATGAGTTAACGTAGCTTTACCTTTGGCAACAGCAGAGGGAGCTGCCAGAGGTCTTGCATAGTGTTTAAAATGTCAGCTGCCTGTTATGAGCACCTGCCAGGACTACAGGTCTGGCAGGGTCAGTGTTAGTGTGGACACAGCATGAGTCAGACTGGATAGGAACTTGTGTACAGAGTATCCTGAGACTGGTAAAACACCTTTTGAAATTTCCCACCAAGTTATCTCCTGTGTTGCTCAGATAATATATGAGGAAACACTGCTGGCTCTTGACTCAGCCAGAATCACAGGCTGTTCTGCATTCGGACTTGAATGGAAGTAGTGTGTCAGTGTGGGGTCTACGTTCATAAAATAGTGCTGTGGATCTGGTAGTTTTTCTAAGTGAAAGGTTAAAGCTAAGTGATAGGCAGTGAGTCTTAAGAATGTGGTTTCTTAAAAACCATCTCATGGAATCACAGAATCTCAGGGATTGGAAGAGACCTCGAAAGATCATCTAGTCCAATTCCACTGCTGTAGCAGAAGCATCTAGGTTAGGTCACACAGGAGCACATCTTCACATAGGTCTTCAATGTTTTTATTGACCTTTTCTTTTAAATGCATAGTAAGTCTGTTGGGCTGATGGTTTATGTAGGAAGACAATAGGAAAAACGTACCTACTGTTTGTCACTGCTTTTGTAAGATGCTGCCTTTGGAGAGCAGGTATGTTTCGTCAACATTTGGATCAGTTTGGCTGCAGAACTTACTTTAATTACATACATGTTTATGCTCATTCAGATCTCTGATTTGCTGATAGCACGGGATGTAAATTTTCTATACTGTTACTTCTTTGCAATTAATTGTGACAATTGGTGTGACTTAGGTGCATGCCCACTTGCGTTTCACCTTTAATTTATGCCAGGTTTGTTAATTGAGCCTGATAGATAGATAGAAAAGTTTGGAGTAGTTCCAAATCCATTCATGGGACCTGACTCTTCAGCAGAGGGTTCTTTTACACAACAGTGTTAAAGGAAGAGAGCTCCCTGGCATTTTGTTTGGGGAGTAATGTGGTGTGCATCTGCAGAATTCAGGGATGTGTGAATTGGGATGATCTATGCCAGACTAACTGATGCAGTAGTTGCCACAGGTTTTTCTTATGAAATGAATCTATGCCCTTCCAGACAAAGGAAGTGTGCATCTTTCATGCCCTTAGCAGATAGGCAGTTTTTGTACTCCTTTTAGTGATGGAAGACTTACACAAAGCTGACTAAATCAGTTTTAAAATATTAAAAGATGTATAGAATTGCATTATTGATACTGCCAGTGACAGAGATATTGGAAATAAAATTCCAAATATGCTGATAGACAGTACTATTGTCAGCAAAAGAGTGAGTCAAAAACATACATGGGCATGTTGATGTTCTGGTTTTACTATCAAGGAAAACCTGTGCGAGCTGTAATGTCCAGATTTTGTTCTGGATCCAAGATCTGGGATGTATTGTGCTCGACTTTGCCAAAGACAGGCTGAAACTGTGACTTTTTTTAATCTGCCTGTATTCCCATGTTATTCATGCTTATGTCTGAGTTTACTTAGGATTGTGTTGTTATAGTTTGTTTCAGGATTGAAGAGGTTAATGAAGCTTGAACTACCTCATGAAGACATCCATATTCTTGTCAGCCTTGAGATTCTTGTAATTGTCTGCAATCACAAGTCAGAGAGCTGAAATAAGATTAAACAAATTTTACAGTTTCTTCTGTACACCACTCAGCAGTTATGGCAATTTTATAGTGCCTGTTCTGGAAGTTGAAGTGACAGCTGTTAATAAATAGTTTACCAGCATTTCCTGTGTTTGAATGAATAAAAGTGTTCATAAAAACTTGTTTTAGACTTGTTTGAATGATTTAATATTTAGAAATAAGAAAATTGTAGCAGAAGAAACAACTCTCAACACCTGATTGCTAGCTGAGTTTCACTTCTGTGGGTACTTAGGCCAAGGCTTTCCTTAGGAGGTTTTTAGTTTCAGGCAGCAATTGAATTTGGGGAAACTTCAGACTGATTACAAGTCACTTTCGGTGTGCTGGCTACTTCAAATATGTCATGTGATTGAGAATAATATCATTCATCGTGTTTGAATTACATGATACTTTTTTGTAGGCAATGTTATGTTGCAAAACCATGCTTACATAAAATGTTTCAAATTAGCAAGAATTAGCTTGGTACCAGCATGTGGTATGAAAAGATCTTAAAACCATGATACCTGTGGGATGTTGACAAGCAGAGCTAAGGAACTAGGCATGAACTGAAAAAAACAAGCCAGCTTTTTTTACAATGCTCACTGTGTGTAACTTTACAATGCTCACTGTGTGTAAAGTCAAGAGATGCATAAAGTATGTCTTCAAATACGTGGTTATTTTCTTTGGTTATGTGGACATTACATTACCTGTCATTGTTAAGTCCTTACTTACTGTGTTCAATGCATCTGAGTTTTGCTGCAAACTTAAATTTCATAAGTATCTGACAAATATGATTTTAAACTGGCCATTTTCATTCCATTATTGTGCATTTTCTTACATGTAGGGTGAGGAAGGGAATGCTTTCACTTACACTGCTTTTTATTAACGCTGCCTAGCACTCCTGAGCAAATATTTTGTCAGCTGAAATGTCTAAACTTACATCTGTATAGTTTGCCAATCCTCAGGTAGTGTAGGAATGAATGCTGCTATTTTGAACCTCGAGTGGGAAATTTTTTTTTAACACTGAAAGTAACTCATGCAATCTTTTCTATAGCAAACAAGATGCATCCATATGTTGAAAGAAACTAGACGCTAGGATTCTGTGATGAAATGTTCTCATGTCATTTTGCTTCTTTGAGTTTATAACATACTTTAGTCTTGTAAAAATAAGCAAAATATCTTGGTTTTCTTGAGCAGAATTAGACCCTCTTTTATCCAAAGAGGTTTAATGTCAGTACATGAGTGTCTTTATTTGCAGCGAGTCTATTTCTATTTTAAATAGTATGCTCTTAACATATTAACAAGGTTTTCTTATTCATGGTGAACATTATCTGAAACATTATCTAATGCACATGGAAAGAATATGCAAATTTCAGGTATGGGAATGGCATCATAGCTGCATGTGAATACTGGATTTACTATGGGTGATGTGACTCAGAATTTAAAATATAGCATTTTTCATATTAATTTCATGGCTTTCCTCTTTACTAAATTTTCTCATTTCAACCTAGAAGAAAGTAAACTTGCTTATTTTATGTAGATTTGAAGCTTCTCTTGATAGAGAACCCTACAGAAAAGGGCATGACGAAGTCTGAAAGGGATGGGAGAAAGAGGGAGAAAAGGGGAAAAAAAGAAAATTAAATCTAATTTCTATAAAATAAGAGAACCTGGATGCAGGGCAGCAAGAGATCCTCCAGTCCATGACATGATTGTGAAGCAAGTGTCTTTAAAAGAACAAGCTTGCTACAGTCCAACTGATTTTTTTTTTGTTGTTGTTGTTTCAGTTTGTAAGTAAATTCTTGGAAGGCATGGAACACTTCTCTGTGGTCCCTTATGGGAAAGAAGAAACAGTGAAGCTACTTCCTGGTACTGAGGTAGGTAATGTGATGATTGAGAAAGCTTTTGATAAGAATGTTGTCTGTTAGGTTATAAAAATGCCAAAATGTTAATGTTAGTATGAAGTAAAACCATTTCTGCTGCATTTCTTCATCTCGGCAGCATTTTTGTTGCTGAGAAAACTGAGCATAATGTGCTGAATCACATGAGCAACTTTAGGTGTCAGATACTTTGCAGACAGAAAGTTCTTGATTCTGCTGCAAGCTGTTTTGGTAGTAGAATCAGTTTTGAGCAGGAAATTAGATAAGAATGTCAATAGGCAAATGTAGACGTTGAAACTTATTTCACTGCAACCCTCAAAAAAAAAAAAACAACCAAACAAACAAACAAAAAAAAAACCCACCCCTCTCACTTCTCCTGTGCTCCAGAAGTATGTCAGTTTTCCCAAGGGTCTTTGAACAGGGATACTTGTGATGAAAGGAGCCACGTGTCTAAGTGTAATGTGACATTAACATGAGGAAGGGAAAAAGGAAAATTATGTTTTCACCAAGTCAGATAACTAATGGATTAAATTTTATAATCAGACACCGCTTAATTCATCTTGTTTCTTTATGGTGAAAGATGATTCAGACGGTGAATTTTCTAGAATGCCATGTGTGAATTCAGTGCCAGAAAACAGGAGGGGAAAAAAACACCAGGAAATTAATAACACTAAAACATCCTTGTTGTTCTTTGCTGAGTAAACTGAAAGGAATGTATTTACATGTGTTTACTGGAGGATGCTAAGACTGCCTTATTTCAGTGCAGTAGAATGTAGTGAGTGAGTTGAAAAGAAATACACTCATACTGAAATTACTACAGCTTTAACAGAGATGAAGGATGCTTGATTTACCTCTTTGAGATCTCTATTTTGTCTGTACTCTGCACAATAGTACACATATCTGCACAATAATGCACTCATATCTCTGCTCCTTTCTGCCTTGTCAGCTTGTTAAGATGTGTTAGTAGAACACACCTCTTCTGAGATGAGTATAGTTTAAGTTCTTAGCTGAAGAACAATGCCAACGATTATGTTTTAGTTTACACTAAAGTTCTGCAACTAGAAAGAAAGGTCAAATAAATAGGAAAAGATCTAGACAACGCTAAAAACTGTTATGCTGTTCTTCTGTGATACTGTAGGAGTCATCCTTGGTTTTGTGTTGTGTGTTACTTCTTGGGTATCTTTGAAGTCATGGAATAACTTATTCTAGGTTATACCAAGATCCAATCTTTTTTCTTTTTAAGGTCTACCTGGCAAGTCTGCATTTCTGTGTAGCTAGAGTGTTTTGACTTCTCTGAGAAAGGAGAATAAGACAAAGTTGACCTGAATTAAACTTTGTTGGATTTAGTTTAATCTTTTGGATATGAAAAAGTTCTTACTATTTAAAAAACAACACAATTTAATCCAAGAATAACAAAAGTGTTACAAAAGTTTTATACTTTTGTCTTCTCTTTTTGTGACATACTAGTATTTTTCATGAAAAATTCATAGTAACTTTGAATTTTAACATTGCAGCTATTTAAATAAAATGCTTATAATAATATTACTGTATGTTTTCTACTAAGGTATGTTTTCTGTGAAGCCATCTACGAACTTGAAAGTCAGTTTTTTACCGCGGAGGATGCTATCATTCTTCATCTGCCAATTAGCACCACCAGTATTTTTTAGTGTTCTGCTACAACCTGAAATACTTAAGGCATAGCTCTAACAGAGCAGTGATAAGCTGCTCTTCCATTAACTTTGCCTTCTCTCTTTTCCAGGTCCTAGTGAAATACTCAGAGTGCTTGACTTTTCTTAGTCTGAGGACCTCATTTTTCAGATAAGAAGCTTGTATTTCCTAGTGTCTGACTTACTACTAGATCTGAAAGTGCAAAATATTCAAGAAAGGCTGAAGTATTAAAATCCTATTTGTTCAGTTTGTAAAGTAGAGTGACTTCAGTTTCCTATTTATATAGATCTGTGAGATTGTGTTGCTGGTGAGAAGAAAATCATGTACTTGCTATTAATAACAGATGTGGAGGCAACATGGGGTTTCAGATGAAGGAGCAACTAGGAAGTTTTATAGCTGTAGTTTTGTAATCTTGATTAGTCTGTGTGTGACTTTTCCACTCCTAGTATTGAGGCAAGTAACCTGTTCCTTAAGTTATCACGAATTTATGTGCCTATGTGTAGAATACTTGGGCTATTGTAGTTACCATGGCCAAAGTACAAACAGAAGCATTCCTAATTACAGAATCGCCAAGGTTGGAAAAGACCTTCAAGATCATCCAGTCCAACCATCCACTCATCACCAATAGTACTTACTAAACCACGTCCCCCAACACAAAATCCAAATGTTCCTTGAACACCTCCAGGGTCAGTGACTCCACACCTCCCTGGGCAGCCCATTCCAGTGCTTAACCACTTTTTCAGAGAAGTAGTATTTCCTAACATCCAGCCTAAAGCTCCCCTGGTGCAGATTGAAGCCATTCCCTCTAGTTCTATCACCAGTTACATGAGAGAAGAGGCCGACCCCCAGCTCACTACGACCTCCCTTCAGGTAGTTATAGAGAGCAGTAAGGTCTCCCTTGAGCCTCCTCTTCTCCAGACTGAATACTCCCAGCTCCTTCAGCTGCTCCTCGTAAGGCCTGTGCTCCAGACCCCTCACACCAGTTTTGTTGCTCTTCTTTGAACCCGCTCCAGGACCTCAACGTCTTTCCTGAAGTGCCCTTTGTAAACCCATGCTGCTAGGCCTGATTCCCCTGCTTGTCCCGCACATGCCACGTGATCTCTCTCAAGACAATCTGCTCCATAACCTTCCCTGGCACCGAGGTCAGGCTAACAGGCCTGTCGTTCCCCGGATCCTCTTCACAACCCTTCTTGTAGATGGGAGTCACGTTGGCAAGCTTCCGGTCTTCTGGGATCTCACCAGCCAACAAAGAGCGCTGATAGATAATGGCGAGTGACTCAGCTGTCATCTCTGCCAGTTCCCTCAGCACTCTCGAGTGAATCCCATCAGACCCCATGGACTTGTGACAGTCCAGCTGGAGTAGTAGGTCTGTGACTGCATCCTCCCGAATCGCAGGGGGTTCTGTCTGCACTCCAGTTAAGATTGCCAGGTCAGAGAGTAGAGTACCCTGAGGATAACTGGTGAGACCTTTAAAGACAGATGCAAAGAAGGCATTCAGAACCTCTGCCTTTTCCTTTTCCTCAGTGGTCACATTCCCAGCCTCATCCAGTAAAGCATGAAGATTCTCCTAAGTCCTCCTTTTACCGTTGATGTATTTGTAAAAGGGTTTCTTGTTCCTTTTAACCCCAGTGGCCAGGTTGAGTTCAAGCTGGGCATTTGCCTTTCTGATTTTCTCTCTGAGCATCTTAACAACTTCTCTGTACTCTTTTTAATTAAACTGGTAAGGTGAAGATAATGTGGGAAATAGTGTAGGTGACAGAATATATTTGTAAATTTAAGAAAATTACTACCAAAGTACACAAAAAAGAGGTGCTGACGTCCTTAATTTTTTTATGCTTCTACTTAATTTCACTGTGGTAGCTGACCTTCTCAGTACTTATATACTCTTGGGATCACCCTTTTGTAGAGATGTTCTATTTTGCATACAGCAATATTTTCAGAGCAGAAGCTCTCTTCACTGAGTTAGCACTTAACGTAGTGGAGTTTGAATGGTTAGATGTTCTTGTGAAAAGGTTAATAATATTAAGGATTTATTCTCTTGCGTTTTTTGTTAGTTGGCTGCTCCTTAGAAGCTTCATGTGCTAACCTAATGGAAAGGACTGTTCATTTATCCCTTCTTTCTCATGGGGATAATTTCAATAATTTAGTACCATGTTCAAGTGAACAGTGGGAAAGATGAGAACTCAGTTAACAACAGGAGCATCCATATAGTCTTTTCCATGTAAAGTCGCTTTCATTTTCCCATCTAATTCTGGTGCAATTGAATCAGATGCAGGGACTGAACAAGAGTATTACAAAGATATTTTCTTTTCCCATACCTCACGTTCTAAATTACTACAAGATGCAGAGTGCTTGTATTTTTTCAGTTCAGATCAAGAATGTGCTTTTAGAGTAAAACTCCTAGTTATTACTACTTACTCTCTGGATTACTTTGTGAAGTAGTCTTTTAAATGCATGTAGTCTGTGGGTGCCAAATCCCCAATACCAACCAATTTGTTCTACATACCTCTTGTATAGGTGAAATGATCTGTAGATTCCCTACTATTGCAGAGAAACTGTAAAGAATATCCTACATTTTCCCCCAAACTAGAAGTACTAGGAGTTTTCTTTTGGCTTTGCTTATTTGCTAAGGCCTTTTAACATTTTTTTACTTTGAAGTATTTCACTGTATGTATTAAAAATATTTACTTGCTGAACAGTGATATTTGCTGCAGCTAGGAATGGTAACAAAAGAAACAAAAGCAGTTCAGTATGTGGCACCAGCTTGAAGTGTGAAGAATAGATCAAGAAAAAAAGAGTTTTCTAGGACTCGATGTTGTTGAGGGGCCCAGCTGTCAAAATTGTAAATTGCATTTTGTTTTTTAATTTTTCATTGTACTTTCTTAGTCATTACTTTGGGTGGCTAAAAGCTGTATCTTAAATTACACAGACACTATTATTTGCTGACTTACATTACTGAAAAATGCTTAATTGCTCTCTTGCAAAAGTCTTGTATTAAGAATTCTTCCACTTTCAAAAAATAGTTTTACTTTTAGAGTTATTATTATTTTTTTTTTTTTCATTTTGCTGATACTGGAAATCCAGCTAGAATAAAAAACAGGTAGGTAGTCTGAATTTTCCTCATGGATTAAGAGACTGGCAGTAGATGCTGCTGTCTGCAAGCATGCTGGATATTTGGAGTACAGCTTGTAGGCTCTTCTGTATGTCTTGACAACAACCAACCAACTGTAACTATAGCTGCTTAAAAGAGGGAGAAAAAAGGCTTTGAGCAAAGAAGAGGTAGGATTTTATAACAGTACAAGTAACTTTGTCTCTTCATCCCCCTTTTGCTTCAAATAGAGTTATATAGTTCACTGCATGTGAAGAAAGGAATTCTGACTTCAGAATTTGTGTCAGAAGCTCACATCAGCTCTGAAGAGTTTTCTTGTAACCCAGACCTCTCACAGTTCTTGTACAGCTGCTCCCAGCTTCTGGCATTGCTTGGAGCAGTTAGGCAGTCTAAGCTGTAACAGCTGGGTGGAACTTCTAGGAGGCTGTTTCTCAGGGCTGATGAACAGATGGAGGCTGCAAAGGGAATGGTGAAGAGTGGGAATAAAAACAATTATCCTTTCCTTCTTTTGAAGGGACTCTGCAGATTCCAACCACTTCTGAAGATAGGATTGTCAGTGGAGAGTTCATTGGTCTGCTCAAATATGTGAGTTTGTGTAACATAACAGAAATCTTATACTTAACGGAAGATCCACTTGTTCAAGCAGGCATGGCATCTGCACCCTGGTTCTGACTATTTTCTAGTTGGTCCAAGATAGCAAGGTAAGCTCAGGTGTATTGAAAAGGTGAAATAAATTACAGCAAACTCACTCAGATGTGAGATGCACAGAAAAATCAGATGAAAGATCTGGGGGAGGGGGGAGGAAACTTTCAATGTTGACAGACTGCTTTGTGAGATACCTCTGCTGAGTCATCTTTTTTAGAAGCTCTCAGACCCCAAAAATAGATAAAAATCCGAAGTTCTCAGATAACCAATATCAGGAAACATAATAAGCACTTTTTTTTCTAAGTATAGCTGACATGTATGCATGAGGATACCTCATCTCTATTCTCTCCCTTTACGTGCTCTATTCCTAGGTCAGACACATTCATATTAACAAGGATTGCAATGGTGATGCAAAGCATCAAAAGATTCAGGGACTGTTATCCATGAATCCAGGGTAATAGAGGAAGGAGAGAGACAATATGTTCTAATTTATCATTAAACATGATTTTAGGCAGTGGTTCAGACAATAAATGAAAACAGGATTTTGAGACTGCAGACACTGGGTATATGGAAGTCACAGAATCAGGTGTGTTGTTTAGTGAACAGAATGCACTGTGTTTTAATGAGGAGCAAGTAGAATGCCTCCTGACTGAGTATGCTTCTGAGTAATTATTAAGGTCAGAGCCTGCTGTGAATTCAAACAATCTGATTTGGACAACAAAAACATTGTCTAATTACTTACAATTAGATTTTTCTGGTCTAGTTTTCTAGCAAAGAGCTTGTCTTTGGGAAATAGAATAGGATTTTCCCTCAGCCCATTTTTTGGGGATGAGGGAAGAAGAAATGGTGTTCTTGGCTCACGTGAATTGTGCTGGGATAGCGATGTGAGCTAATAAATGTGTAACACACAGTCTTCAACTAGTAAGTGCCAAAATGTCTGCTAATTGAGGCTGTGCTGCTTTTCATTCTAAGATATTAAAGCATTTTAAATTTGTATAAAAATCTGTGCTACTTAAATCTACACAGCAAGTTAATTTTATACTGTATTTCAAAGGGAAAAAATAAAGATCCAGAGCTGTAAGACAGAAAGCAAGAACAAATATGGTGTTGCAGTGATGTGGAAACCGGTATTCCTCTGTCTACTAGCCAGTTATTTTAACTGGAAGGGAAGAGTTTCATTTTAGTAACACCTGCAAATTATTTTAACTCCTTGTAATATAAAAAATTTCCATAGAGGGAAAAAGGAGAGGTTGCTGCCTGTTGCTAAAGTGTAAACCCAAATAGCATAAAGCTGTTTCTGATGTAAAGATGTTTGCAAAAAGGCACGGATTTTGCAATCAGGAAGAGCAAGCATTTTTCTTTTTCTCTAGAATTCAAATCTTTAGTTATGCTTACAAAATTAATCTTAAGAGTTTTTCGGTTTGCAGGTGAAAGCTGAATACATGTGCAGGCTCTGTGGCATGTGTTCATTATAATGCTATTAATTTTCTTTTTGTACATTACAGATTTCAAACAGAGAAAACGAAAGTACAGCAGATTCCTGCTGAAGGTGTGTAACATTGGTTGAAGTGACCTTTCCAGCTGGAAAAAACATGATTAGAAAGTTCTACTCAGTGTGGTAACAGTTAGCATTGCTTTAGTCCATGCTATTAAATTCAACCACTTGTAGGTGGTCATTGTTCTTTTCTTAAAGTCTGTGTGTGCTTATGAATTAGAGGCAGATATAAATGAGTGTTGTTGGTCCATAGCCTGGCTTCCTGGTGAGAAATCACAAGTGAAGCATATGTGCTATGAATAGTCCCCATTTATTTTGTTTCATAAGGAATTTAAACATCACTAAAAGGGACTAGTAGTAAATACTTATATTTGTTCTCTTAACCTCCACTCAGTCCCATCATCCACAATGTCAAGGATGGATATAACTAAATTTGAGAACTGAAATAAACATCTGATCGTACAAAATCTATTGCATAATGAAAGGAAGTGGAATTGACTGACTTCTAACATAGGCAACACATAGTTCTTTTGCTTTCGTTCCTACATGAAATGCCAGTTCTCTTAGTTTTGAATTTACCATTGCAATGTTGAATGTTCTGCATTCTGAATTAACTGGAGGCAGGCCTTTTAAGAATTCTTAGCTCTTTGACAGCATTGCTCTTCTCTACTTTGTGTGGTGGAAGAGAACATGTCTTCTGGGCTTGGGTGACTTTCCAGTTTACATCGATGTTGATTCCTTACCTCTGTGTCTCGAATTCTGAATCACTAAGGATAGAAAATAAATTTTTGATTTTTTTTTTTTTTTTAATATTTCTCTCACAAGATGGCAGCATTGCTTCAGGAAATAAAATTGCACTTGATGTTTAGGATGTCTTGAAGTCTATATAATTTCCATTTTATACTGTGTTAACTGAATTTACATCAGTCATATGATTGGAAGAGTTTCATTTACTTGCTGTGTTTTCAGGCTTTGGCATGAAACAAATGGAAGACTGTAATGAGTTTTGTGATTTGTATTGGAACTATATCACTGTTTTGGCTTTATTTGTCATTATAGTGACTCTAGTTAAGACTGTAGTTGCATTTGTGAGAGTTTAGCTCTAGGTAAACCTGGAATACAAATGCTTCAATTGCACCGAGCGGAGATAGTTTACAGGAAATTCATTATCAGATTCATGTGTATTTCCCTTTCTGTCCACTGAGTGCTTTTATTCTTTCAGGCATTAATCCTACTCTCTGATGTCAATGACTGTGTAGAGTAAGTTCTATAAAGGAGATACAGGCAGCAAACAAGAGGGGAAAATAAGTAATTTTTGATTCTTATGTTTTGTTCGAAGCATGAATAATCAGGAATGATGGAAGAGCTGGCACCATTTCACCATCAGAAGCACTCACCTTCAGCAAGTTCAGGGTAATCCCTTAACTTGATTTTTGGGGCAGCACTGATGGACTTGAACATCTCAGCTGCATCCAAGGTAACACAAAGGGGATGTGGACTTCTAAGGGAATTAGATTTATTTCTTATTGTTAAATCTGATCTACAAAATTGATATTTCCTGTATAAAGCAAAAAACTGAGCTGCCCAAGAGTATAGATTTTCTGTAAAACCCTCCTTTCTGTGATTCTTATTTCACAGCATGAGTTGCCAGCTGAAGGATAATATTTTGTAATTCATATGGCAGTTTTATACTCTGTTCAGATATTCTACTTGGTGAAAATGCTAAGAAGACCATTTTCATTTTTAAATCAGGAAATTATTTTCTGTGATTGCCTGAAGAAATGTCTCTTTTCTGCCTATAGTACTAAAGGAAATAAACCTTGCTATCCTGAGTAGCAACTGTTATTATTTTAAGGATGGATTGAGTGGTGTGTGAGAACAATTCAATAAAAATTATATGAAGTCTTATTTTCATTTTCTTGAAGACTATGCTGAGGAAAAAAGGTAAGCTTGCCTTTCTTTCCAGTTCTCAAAATCTAGCATGATAATATACAGTTATTACCTAGAGGTGGTCACATAGTTACTTCTGGGACTAAGGTAAAATTAATCTGCAAGTGTAATTCTCTGTCAAGCCCAAGTCCTTCAACTTTATGCTTAAAGATATTAAAATTCATACTTTTATACTTTCCCAAAATGCAATGTATAAAGTGCTTTTGTAGTTTCTTCTTTATTGTTCAGAGAGAATTTTATTGGTGCTGTTCAGCCAGTCTCTAGAGGTTCACAGTACAGCCTTCCAAACACTAACTTACCATTAGCATCGCTTACTTTCATGACTTTGAGCACATTTTCTAATAGTGCTGACAGAGGAAAGACGCAGATGTAAGTGATGCTATCAGATTGAAGTCAGACCCTTGTGTGATAAAGAATGCTGAATTCTGCTTTTTTCTTCATACCCCAGCATAAAGTCTAATTGAATATAAGAAATGTACATGATGGTATCCTCATGTGTAGAGAGAAGCTGTTCCCTCCACTTTTACATCTTCCCAGAATATATGCCAGTAAAACTGAACTGGAGCATGTGAACAATACTGTGTGAGAGCTTCTAAAAAGTAGTTCAAATGCTAGAAGTTATTTTGGTTCCTGCAGGGTCAGCACACCTCCATCATTCCATCTCTATTTCTTTCAAGAGAGCATCAATCTAACCTTCTGATCACATAAAACTTGTGATATTCTCCTCCATAAGCACTCTCTGCTGCTTGCTCCTTCCCTCACCTGGCAGTGGAACAAGTCTGGCTTTGACTTCTTTCAAAGGAAAACTCTTTGAAGAGTTATATCATTCAAAGTCTGCAGCAGAATATTGCAAAGTTTTGTTTAGGGAAAGTAAATAACTGAGTTTTTTTAAGTGATAAAATGTGGTATTGATCACAAATTCAAATCTAGTCCATGCAATTAAGTCAGAAGTTATTTTTATTTAATAGACTATATGAAACTTAACTTACCCGTTTCCAAGTGGATGAGAATTCCTATTATAAATGGGTCTCATATCTGATCGGTGGCCACCATATGTTCGGTCCTTGGTTTTTTTATTAATGAATATGTTTTTCAGTTTATTTTCTAGAAAGCGTTTAAAAGGTGTTTGGCTTTTACCATGTGCTTCAAAGCTATTAAAGGCACCCTTGAAATGCACTGGTGAATAAAGTACTCTTAACCTTTACAAGGACGCTTGTGAAACAAATAAAACACTTACATGATGTAACTTTCAGCATTTGTGTTTACATGACCCACAGACAAATGGAAGATATTATTTTTAAGGACTCCATGGTCAACACTTTTTGCAAGTGCTAATAAAAAGGAAGTGCCAAGAAACAGAAGAGATTGCATTTCCTCTAAGCCTGAGTAGCACATACAATAAAAGTATGTTTAAAAAAAAAATTGAGGGGGTGGAAAAGGCAACATCTCAAATGGATTGTGGAAGTGCTAGCATTATTAATTTTAGTACAGCCTATTTCTTTTCAGTCCTAGAATAAAATTCATCCAGGTCTGTGTTATGATTCAGGTGCACACTTTTTCTAGGGTAGTTTTGTAGTCATTTTCCACTCTCGAAAGCCGTGTTAGTTGACTAATTAAAAGGACATTTTGTAATAATTTTCATAACTTTTAAAAGTTATATTAAAAGGAACATACAGACAATAACGGGCATCTCCTTTTTTGATACCTCACTTCAGTTTGAAGGAACTTACAAAGGTGCTGTTGAATATAGCAAACTACCAAAACTCTCGTCCAAGTCAATATTAGAAATACTAGCATGTTGTGCTTCAAATTCATATCCTATTTTACTTTTCTGTGGTTTAAGTATTTATGCTGAAATTACAAAAGTAAGCAATGATGGACATTTAGTTTGGTTCATGTACTGACAAAGGTTCACCATAAGAAAACAGATTATTCAAAATCATGCATTACGTAATAATATTCACAAAAATGATTTTCACTTGAGTACTGCTGAAAATCATTGGATGAATCTGCATTTGACTTCTATTTTTCATCAAATGAGATGTAAAGAAACCCCAAACTTCTAATAAAATTTCCTGACTGTTATGTAATGTGAATGTCTCAAAAAGTAAGCATATGGTTAAATTGTCATTAATACTTTTGGTGTAAAATGTAATTTGGGGGAATGTATGTTGCATTGTGCATAGCAATATTTCTACTGATAAATGAAAGGATTCATTGGAGCTTTCTGGTCGAGGTTCCACTTTCTGCTGCAATAGATAAGCATATGTTATTGCTTGGAAAGATTTTATGCTGGTATGCTTGAGGTTAGCATCTGTTCCATTTGGTGTGCATAAACTTGTAAATGGTTTACATGTAGTAACTACAATGCACATTTCCTGGTCCTAAGCATTATCTTTTATAGCAGATTACTTGGAAAGTAGCACCGTAAGTCATTTTTATACTTTCTGTATACTGCTAAGAAAAAATTATTCCTCTTTCATCAATTAGAAAGTGGGCAAGTTAAGTTATACCTAAAAGCAAAATTATTAAGATAAAACTTATATAAAGATGGAATATGGAACAATACCTATATATAACAATATCTATATAGAATAATACCTATGTGGATAAGGCTGTCCTAAAGAACAAGGGTTTGTGATTTACTCAAGCAAAGGACTTGGCATTTTTTGCCGTGATCTTAAAAACCTTTTCTAAGATTGATTTCATGGGAAACAAGGCAATCTCTTTGAGTAGTATTTTGGTTTGTTTACTTGAGAAAAACTTACATGAAGTCACTTTTTTGACTAAGTTCTCAAATTGTTGGGCTGATCATTCAGGAATGATTTATAATAAATTAAGTAAAAAGGAAATTTGTAGGCTAAGAAGTGCATTCCAGGCAATATGATTTGGTATTTGACAACAACAACAAAATAACCAACATTAAGCTTTCCTAATTCGTTTGACTGTATCTACTATAAAAAAGAGATAATTTTAAGGTTATAAATATATTCAAGCTGCGTATCCTAAGAGTAAATATTAAATGTGTTTACAGTTAATGACACTTGCTAAGTGAAAGATTGTAGTTACATTTAATTGCATTGTTGAAGATGTATAAAAGAAGGAAAAATATTGTCTATGAAAAACAGTAAACTGAGAGATACTGGAGAAAAATCTGAAGGGCCATAAGATATAAAAGAACCATAATGAAAAATCAAAGGCATTTGCAGATGAAAGTGATACTAGGAGAAAGACGGGCCAACGGCCTTTTGATATCTGGGTGACTCATGAGTAGTGGGGATACTGAAGAGAATATTTAGGGATATCTTACTGGGGAAGAAAAAGGTTCTTCAAGAACATTTGGCTGTCAGGAAAGTGGGTTTAGCAGTGAAATAGGAGAACTGGGGAAGCTTTCAGTATCTAGAATGTAAATTTAACTGAAAGAAGTCTTAACAGCCCAGAATTCATGAAGGCCATCTAGGTCCAACTCCACACAATGCTAACTAAGTATTGGATTATTTGGCCTGCACACAAACAGCGCATATGTGAGAACAACTTATTTAGGAATCACGAGAGCTGTCTCTGCAAATTTGTAACTGAAATAGAAGTTATACATTTGAATGCAAGGATTTAATTGTTTATGGTTGGGCTGCTGCGGAAATTCTGAATTCCTGGAACTGAACAATGCATGCAAGGAATTTTCTTGTCAGTGACAACATTAAGATAAAGCATCTGACAGTATCTAACACTTCAGTTGAAGGTAGCTGAAAAAAAGAACATCTTAAAATATTCTGGGGTCAGCTATTTATGTTTATCTCCCAAACATTATCCCTGTGCAAGAATAAAAGTGGTAAAGCTGTAAATGACTTGGAGTATTTGCACCAGACGTGGTGAGCAGAAGATGTACACAGAAGGAGCAGTTGGAAGAGAAAAGAGTATTTGTTTCCAGTGCTGAACATGGAAGGCTCTATTAGTTAGCCTCCACTGTCATAACTGTCACCATTATGAATGTAAGAGGACTGCCCTGTCAAGAATGGGGGGCAAAAGAGCAACTATTTGGAGGCAAAGAGTATGCTAGATACAGAGATTGAATGGAAATGAGTAGAACGGTCTGGAATAGAAGAAAGGATAGCTAAGTCATGTGTGAACTGTTAAAGAATGCTAAGACAGGACATGGGTAAGAGGCAAGAGGGTAGAAAAGGGGATCAGAAAATTAGTGGGCTTGAAAAGAAGAGGGAAAAACAACAGTCATGGAACAGTGAATGTGAATGAAAAATATAAGGGAGTTCAGGCATGAAAGAAATAATAGAAAAATCTCTTAAGTTAGAATAAATGATGTTGTACAGTTTGATCCATGAAAGAATGGTCATATAGTATGGTCTGTAATGTCTCAAGAAAATCCTTGCTGCCTGCTCAAAGGAAAGCCCAGCTAAAGTAGAAAAGGCCAGAAAAATCCCAAGTGCCCATGGGTTAAGAGAAGTATCTCTAATATGTTTGTAGATACTACTGTTGCTTCTGATATCTTCCTTCATTGTGTTTTGTTCTCCAGGGAACCCATTCCTGCAGGGTAGGTGTGAGATGGCCCCTGACTTTCTCCAGAACAAATCTTGATTTAGTTATGGGTAGTTCCTCTGGTCTGCTGTCCCTGCTCTCCTCAGCTGCTTTGGGACTGACCCCAAGGTCAGTGCCCCAGGTACCCAGTCACTTGGGTGGAAATGGACAAAAGGGGTTGCATTTAATGCAGAAGAGTGGACTTGGCACAGGAAACTTTGACACAAGCTGAACATGACTTGCTTCAGTTTTGCAACTCCCATATTTAAGCTAACGTTATTAAAACTAAAGCAGATTTTGTTTCTGAATTCTTCTCTACAAGAGCTCTGTGCCAGGTATGGGGAGAGTTTCTGAGTTTCCAGTCTCAGAGGAGGAAGAAATGGAGCTGTGTACAGCTCATGTATATTGATGCATGACCTTGATGCTTGCATTGCCAACAGCAAAAGGAGAATATTTGAAGTAAGATTAGAAGAATAATCTACTGAGAAAGCGAAACCTTGGCAGTACTGTAATATAAACAAGCACTAACACCTGTTGTGAGACTAAGGCCTTTAACTGTGTTTTTCTAAGAGATAAAAACTCCTCAGACCATCCTATATCTAAAATAACTTTCCATGTAATAGTACTGAGTTGGCAAGTGCTATGCCTTTTGTTTACATTTGAGATGTTGCTAAAAAAAAAAAAGCTAGATGCATAATTCAATATAGGTCTGTAGCAGTCTATTTAACAAGCTCATCCCTTGTCCAGAAATTAAGTGGCATAAGAGGACCATAGTACCTTTTATGATCTCTTGATGAATAACATGCAGTGCAAGTTGTGCATGGGTCAGATTACTAGAGGAAATCTCTGGTAAATTTTGTGATGGTGCATGCATATGATAAACTGAAATTCTTTTAATACTGACATACAGTGCTCAGATTAATTATGAGGGCCCTAACAAAAGACACCTGGTATTTATATTGAGCATGAAGTAGCCTTTAAACCACTCAGTGTTCCTGAAGATAGTTTCCATGTTTTAGTCTGTTAGTTCAGCTCTGAAACATGCTGCTTAATGGTATTGAAGTACGTATGTTTTAATATGCACTGCAGGGTATTTCCATTTGTGGGAAATAAACTTTTTAACTGACCAACTAGAAATTCAGTTTGGAACCAAAAATCTTTTTTTTTTTTTTCTAACTTGTCCTGAAGAATGAAGATCTTGGAGACTAAATTCTTCGTGGCAAATCTCATCTTCTAACTATAGACGAATAGGGTGATATTTGTTAAACATTTGAAATAAGTAACAAAGGAAACTCAGTGTGGATTACATAATGAATTTAGATTAATGTCTGTGAAGATGGTAGCTTAATATGGATCATGTGAGTAGTTTTGTCTTGATTCACACCAGCTGCATATGGAACATCAAATATGACATTGTTTAAACAGGCTAAAACCAGAGCCTTGCTAATTCTGAGCTGTGATGATTCTGGTGGGCTTGCTGAAATAAGTTATTTTTGGCAGGAAAGTAAGCAGATAGGATGTGAAAATTCACAGAGAGCTTATTTTTCTGTTTGTGTAGGAAACGGGAAATCAGAAGGAATGTTACAACTGAGGATAAAGGTAATGTAAAAGAACAAAGATAATAAAGTAAGATAAAACCTCTTTCTCCTTGGGAGAAGGCATTCAGTTGGTGGAAGAGATTAATTGGCCTAGAAGGGATTATGGGAATATTTTCAAAATTTGGGATTGTTATCTGGAAAAGGCAACCACCGAGCTCCTTGGGGGAAGTTCTGTTTAGCTCTCTTCTTATACTTTCCAAGTTCTTTTTTGAAAGCACTCTTCCTGGTGGTCCTTATAGTCATGTCATCTATTTTTGGCAGCAGTGCGTGAAGTCT